TGTGAATGTCCCTGTTACATTGGGGGTCAGTGTGAATGTCCCTGTTACATTGGGGGTCAGTGTGAATGTCCCTGTTACATTGGGGGTCAGTGTGAATGTCCCTGTTACATTGGGGGTCAGTGTGAATGTCCCTGTTACATTGGGGGTCAGTGTGAATGTCCCTGTTACATTGGGGGTCAGTGTGAATGTCCCTGTTACATTGGGGGTCAGTGTGAATGTCCCTGTTACATTGGGGGTCAGTGTGAATGTCCCTGTTACATTGGGGGTCAGTGTGAATGTCCCTGTTACATTGGGGGTCAGTGTGAATGTCCCTGTTACATTGGGGGTCAGTGTGAATGTCCCTGTTACATTGGGGGTCAGTGTGAATGTCCCTGTTACATTGGGGGTCAGTGTGAATGTCCCTGTTACACTGGTGGTCAGCGAAAATGTTTCCGTTACATTGGTGGTCAGTGAAAATGTTCCCGCTACATTGGTGGTCAGTGTAAATACCCCTGTTCTTTGGTGGTCAGTGTAAATGTCCCTGTTACATTGGACAGAATTTGACAGAAGGAAAGAAAATATGCACAATTAAGAAAATGAGAAAGAAAAATGAATGCATCTTCCACATCTAAGGACCAATAGAATTCAGTGAGTTAACGTAATTATTAAAGATGCACTTTAATAATTACTTGTCCTGACACCCGTGCTGCCAGTCTTCATTCTCTTGAAGAGCTACTGCTGTTGAACCATCTTCTAACCCTCCTCTGTGTACAGTGGTTCACTATAGGGCACAGTAATGATGGAGGGGCTAGCAGATGATACCACAGTGCTCAGCAGGGGAATCAGGCATCCAACATTCCTTATATTCAATCTCATGTTACATTAAGATATACTGTTACAAAAACAATAATTGTATAATATACCCCAAAATATTGCGTTTCCTAATACATAATGTGACTTTTCCCACACCCAAATCCGTTCTCTAAACCAAAATATTCTACCATTCAAAAGGACACATCGAGTGATATCCTCAAGCTTTCATCAGGATAGTGCTGTGAATCTTCTACAACACTTTTAGTGAAACATAAAAATACTTTTATGTGAAACATAAACAGTTTATTCCCCCTTATCTGTGATCTTCAAAGAAAGACGAAAAAAAACCAGTCCTTCCACACCACCTCCTCGTCAAATTCCAAAAATCCACAATCACCAGATAGTATTGGCCACCTTGCTACAGATGAGTCATACACATTTAGGATGTTTATCTTAGATCATCTCCGCCGGCTTATATCCTCTGATACTCTGAAAGATGAGCATCTTTATATTTCCACTTCACCGTACTTTAACTGTTTTTATAGCATATCTCTCAACCACACCCCCCCCCCCGTGAGACTCATAAAAACACATAAATGCTTCCCATTGTGCAGCTCTTAAAACGTATTTAATTAGTATAATTTAAATGCACTTACAAAACAAAGCATCGCATTTGCGTTGAATAGTAGCATTCCACATTTCTATGTCCTCTGTGTGCTTGGAAGTATGTTAGATGCAGCAGAGTTTTCAACTGCAATAGCTCTTCAAGTGAGAGATGATTACTTGCGCAGGAGATGGGTGGGACAGATACGTGTTAAAGGCTAATTCCACCTTTCAAACCATCTTTTATGTTACACCCATATTTAGTATGTAACAACAAACATGGTCACAGTCCATAAAGCCTACCATCAAACTGCCCCCCCCCCCCCTTTACTGTAGTGCAAGTCTCTTCCACTTCTTGTCTACATTTGAAGCTGTGTCATTCATTAACAGATCCATTCACAGGATCTGTAAATGAAAATACTACAAGTCCCAACAGCCACCGCGGCACAGGGTCTCGTAGATCTCAATGGAGCACAAGTGCAGTGACATCACCACATTTGTAGTCTATTGCTATCTTCCTCCAGCCCCATAACCATAAGTACTTCGGACAGGGGCTGGAGGGAGAGTCTGCAGTAGCCTTGGCATTGCACCCACAACCCACCGGTTGCAATGCTTTGCATGCTCTGTTCCATTGCATTGTACTGCACACTGCCGGAGCTGCCACAATGGAAAAGTTCAGGTCACCTCAGTACGTGTGAACCGGCCCTTAGACAAAATGTCTCCAAGTTAAGGGAATTGCTCCCTTAGACAGTTGTCCTGGAACAAGTGTCTCCATTGGATGATCTCCCCTCACTTCTTATTCTGCAGGAAACTGTAAAATGTTCGATTTCCCCCTCAATTTTTGCTCCATGGCAATGGTCCATTTTAGGTGGCGTCTGATGGGTGGCAGCAGTGACTAGCTGTACGCATGGCACCGTTTACTTTTTTCTATAACTTTATCGATAGTGCACAAAGTAGGGTAGGGCTAAGCTCAAGCGGGCTACATGCTTTTTTAGGCCCAGGCCATGCAGAGCGGAGCTGTCAGTCGATCATCTGATCTACCTTATAGGTGTTGCTGCCTGTGGCTCCATGGAGCTGACTGACAGCTCCATTCCACAATACCTGGACAGATATGGCCTAAAAAGACTGAAGTGATGTCACTAGTACGTGACCTAGTTCAGCATAGACCTGCACCCAACCCAGCCTAAGGTGAAAGAAAAAAGTAATGTGACCTGGAAATGAGATTAAAGCCCAACTCCAGGCACAAGACCTTATGTACCCATCTCCGGGCACAAGACCTTATGTGCCCATCTCCGGGCACAAGACTTTATGTGTCCATCTCCGGGCACAAGACCTTATGTGCCCATCTCCGGGCACAAGGTAATACCTTAGTACCGTAGATCTAGTAATACCCCCACTACAGCAGATTTCCTCCATTTGGGCCACACAAAGCCACCTCTCTGAGGCACTTCCAGCAGCGGTCACACGCTTGCCTCCTCCACATACAGTGCTGGGCTATTAGTTTGTATGTAATGTTGACGAGGGACCAGCCAGAGCATCAGGGAAAGCCTGCAAGCACGGGGGGAGGTGGGGGGTTTTGAGGTAAGCAATGTCCCCTCTTCTTGTACCCCCTAAACCAGGGGTGGACAACTCCAGCCCTCCAGCTGTTGTGGAACTACAAGTCCCGTCAAGCATTGCAAGACTGACAGTTACAGGCATGACTTCTAGAGGCAGAGACATGTTGCGATTTGTAGTTAAAGCACAGCTGGAGGGCCGGATTTGCCCACCCCTGCTCCAACACGCATTTAACCCTTGCAGTGCAGGTTTGGGGGACACTGCAAGGATTTTTTGTGCCTGGTGTTAAGCTTTAGAAAGGGTATCGGTAACTTTTTTTCCCCAAGCACTTCCTCTGTAAACTAACTGCTGGTGGTGTGCCCTATCCTTGAGATGGGGGTTTAAAACCAATTTAAGCCCTGATGAAGTGATGAGTTCTGCCCCCTGAAACAAATTGATTCCACGCACTCTTATATTGGAAACACTGGTGGAACTACCAGGGTCGCAGCAGTCGCATTTGCAATCGGGCCCTGGCGTCCTGCCACTTGGGGGGGG